ATAACACATTCAACGAAATTGTAGAAGCTCAAAATGTATCTCAACTTGTAAGGCTGTTTTCCACTGCAGCTGGGCGACAGTTACTAGCCCACCTCGGGCTCAAATCTCCCGTATCCCAAGAATGTCCACGGCAGCTCCCCGAAGACCTGCGCCCAAAATCAACAGTATCCCCGATACCCCGTAACATGCATCCCACACATAACGTTGGGAGACGTCAGGCACGGGCGCGAGTCCTACTCAGTACTGCAGCTGCTATGAAGGATAACGTGGCCTTCGTAGACGCAGCGCAGTACGGCTCTACAGACCACTTTGTCTCGGTGGCTACAACACCTCAAAGGCAAACAATTGTCGTCTACAACTTTATTAAATTCAAACGCTGATCATGCCGAGCAGGTCGCTGTGGCACTAGCTCTCACTGCCACCAATCGCACCGCCATTTACACGGATTGGCGCGCAGTCGCACGGGCCTTCATAACGGGCTCAGTTTGTCGGGAAGCAGCGTGCGTTCTTTCTGCTGCCAATTGGTGAGGCAAAAAACACATAATCTGGTTCCCAGCACACACTGGCCGACACGTACGGGGAACCATCCTTAATGGCACGAGTAGGCTCACTCCCGGGCGCAGGGTCTAACATTCCTCGCCGGGGAGAATCACTCGAAGGTTGAGGACGTCACTGGTTTATTCAGAGACCCGTTGCTAACATATAATGAAATTTGCAAACACTACCAGTTGGAGCAACTGAAATACCCACTCCCGCACCCACACTTAACAAGACCTAAGTCCATAACTCTGCAACTCTCACAAACGGAGGCGTATGCATCGCTTCGAAATTGCTCTAAATGCACAGATGGCATATATCCTGGGTGCCCGCGCTGTGGTCATCCCAAATGTACTCTCTAACACATGCTGTGGCAATGCCCCATGTTGCGCGAGAGCAGCGAGTCTCCCTCTACGGAGGCGGACTGGACCCGTCTCTTCACAAGCCACGACAAAGGAAACCAGCTTAGGGCCATCCAGAGAGCCCACAACATAGCCTAGTTTAACCTCCCTGTCCTGTCGTGGAAGAGGCCCACCAGTGTCGCCCCCTAAGAGGGATTGAGCACCGCCTCCGCATACTAATAAAGTTCTTTGCCTGCCTGCGGCGGAGCAGCAAATGCTGGGAGCCTGTCATGTGCGCGCTTCTGCCCACAAGGATGTAGAAAGGACACTCTATGCCTGGTTTCTAGGAGTGTGCGCAAAGAACATTCCGGATGCTGATCGCCAAGGCCAAGTGGTTTGCCACTGCACTTGCTGAAACAACTTGACGACAACAGCGGGTGGCTTCATCTATTTAAGCAGCGCTACAACATCATTGGTAAAACCAATTCTGGCAAAAGCGAAGTGTCAGCAGCCAGGACACCCAGCAATGGTTAACGAAGGAGTGACCGGAATTCTTCGTGAAGATTTCTTTGTAGAAATTTTTAGCATCTGGCAAGACGTGAAGACTTCGAGACGGCGGAACTTGCGGAAACCGGTAAAGATGGCGGCGACGAGCGCATAGACGATGCTTTTCGCGAGTTCTCGTCCGTCTTCCTGGCAGCAGTTCCACACGAAGTGTCTGCGGACGATTTCGTGAAAGCGGCGAACTGCAATGTCCAGGCTGGTGCAAGCCTCGCTGACGAGGACATAATAGTTGTGATGGCAGGGACCCAGGATGCCCAGAGCGACATCTCATGTGATGAGGAAAATCTTTTGGATGAGACGCTGGCTGCCCGCGCGTGCTCCGCTGCTGAAGTGGCAGCACCATTCGGCGTCATTCGTTGTATCAGCCACATGGAGGGAACCAGGCTGTCGCACCTGGAAAGCCTTGATACCGTCGAGACTAGCGTCTTCAACTTGATTTCAAAAACGAAGAAGCAGACCAAGATAACCGATTCCTTTTCACGCAAACAAATCATTCTGTTGCGGCGTGTGTGCAGAATTAGTCGTCATTCTTGAAGGCGCCTATTGCAGGTGATGGTCTGCTACAGGTAAGCTCTCAGGGCCTGTATTCTTTTACAGTCGAATCTTATTAATTCGAATTTGCTAATTCGAACTTCCAGTTATAGAACTGGCGCTGTGGTCCTGCCAAAGCTATGTGCAATCGAATGGGCAAAAACGCCTGATAATACGAACGCGCAAGCACTTGCGACGGTTGACTCGAACATACCGCGCTCCGAAAATGCTCCCACCACCACACCCAATCTCGCGACAGAACCGCCGACACTTCATCGCTGGGCGTGAAAAAGGAAAAGAAAAAGAAAGAAAAGGCTGCGGCAGAATGTTTGCTCTCTCTCAAATGCCGATCCGCTACGCACCTGTGCCACGCTTCTCATTCTTCCGTCCCTGCCACAGAGACCCTTCTCCTTTTAACGCCGCGTGAGAAGAGAGAGAGGAAAAAAAAACAAAGCTGTCATGGAGTGTTGGCTCTCTCTCAAATGCCAATCTGCGAGGCGCTGGTGCCACGCTTTCCCCTTTCCTGTCCCTGCCACGTAGAGACCCTTCTCCTTTCAACGGCACGCTCAAAGAGAGCAGGAACAACAACAAAAAAAAGCTGCCGTGGAGTGTTGGTTCTTTCTCAAATGCTGATTTGCTTCTCTATGCATGGAGACGCTCCTCCTTTCTCGTCATATGCTGGCCAAGCTACGGCTGAGGGTAGCAACGAAGAGGCAGTCGTCCTCGTCTTTAGAGGGTGTCGGTGCTGGACATTGCCGCATGCAACTTCTCTTGCCAGGAGAAGGCTGAAGTCGAAGTAGAAATGCTTTGCAAGCTGCGTGTGAAATTGATTGACCCGCTGCAAGGTAAACGTGTGCAGACGTGCATAACCGATTACTGTAATTACTCAAATCTAACACGCACCTTTTTTTCCGGTTAAACGAATTTATAAATCGCATGCGCCTTAAAATCGAGTGCGAAAAAAAATGAATACGGTCATTCTATTGCCATCAGCATTTCCAAAATGGCCGCCCCCTACGAGCGTCGGCATGACGTGTCGGCGATTTCTGCCTATGTGTTTCCCGTGTGCGGCACTTCGTACGTGTGCTGAGTAGTTCGTCATCTTGTAGTGCATTAGCATCGACGGCATAGAAGGGCCGACTCCAAAAACTCGACGAGTGCACCACGATGCCACTTTTGAAAGAAAAGTCATCGCGTGTGCCGAAACGGACGGAAATCGGGTCGCATCGCGGACATTCGGGGTCTCCGAAACGTGTGTGCGGGACTGGCGGAAACAAAAGCAGAATATTGTCGACAGCAAAGATTCACATAAAGGCTTCAGTGGACCACAGCAGGGTCGGTTTCCGCAAATTGAAGAGCTGCTCGGCAAGTATGTGATCCAGCAGTGAGCGGCACAGCGGCCCGTGACGACAGAACTGCTCCAAGTGCAGGCTATGCAGTTAGCCTTAGAAAAAGGGCTAATGCAGAGCCAGCTTAAAGCGAGCAGGTGCTGGCTAACTAACTTTATGAAGAGGAAAGGCTTTTCTCTTCGAAGGCGAACGGGCATATGCCAAAAGTTGCCAGAGGAGTACGAAGAAAAGCTTCACAGTTTTCAGAGGTTCGTCCTAAACTTGCGGCACAGGAACGGCTACCTGCTTGTGCAAATCGGGAATGCCGATCAGACGCCTCTTAACTTCGACATGCCTGGCACCACAACTGTCGAGAAGAAGGGGGCGAAGCAAGTTCGCGTGCTGACATTGGGCCATAGTAAAACTAGAGTGACGGCAATGCTCCGTTGCACGTCAGAGGCACAAGCTTCCCTCGTACCTCATATTTAAACGGAAGACGCTCCCGAAAGGAGTCGTTTTCCCGAGTGGTGTGATCGTGCGGGCCAACGAGAAAAATGGGTGCGCGTTGCAATCGATGTCTTACTTTTTTTTTTTCCGTCGTGGAAACCGGGTGGGCGTTACAATCGAGGGCGCGGTAGAATCGAGTAAATACGGTACTTCAAATAATGATGGATGTCCTGTGATTTATGAATAAATGTAAGACTTCTGAAACTTCTACCTCGTGTGTTAGCTCAATGCAGATGCGCCACTGCATGGCGAGCCCTCAGTCCATTTAGCTTTCTTCAACTCGAACTTCTTTTAATTCGAACAAATTTTCAGGCCCCTTAGAGTTCGAATTATCGAGATTCAACTGTACATCGAATTTTTCATATATGTAACTAATTTGCGATCCCGTTCGAGTTCGATATATCCTTGTTCTACTACTAATTATGTAGAGTTGCGCCTCGTACTCCCCCTTCACCAATTCTTCCGGGGATCTGCTTGATAAATACAGTGGACTCTTAGTAAACAGAAATCTATTAAACCTAACTGTTGCTTAAATGGAACAACTGCTTCTGATATTATTGGTTCAATCCCTGCATACTGCACCCCAATTCACCTCTCAGTAAATGGAACTCCTGTTAAACTGAACACATTTTCCCAGTCCCTTCAGGTTTCATTTAATGAGAGTCGACAGTATATCTTATGTTGCCATCTGTTTCAATACAAATGTACTTGCTAGGTTTCAAATACTCATAACTCGTATTAGAATGTATTATATTAAAAGACACCAAGAAGAGCACCGACTATGTGAGATATTGGTGTTAAAGAGCATTTGACACCATGATCTAAAAAGCTCATTCTAGACATGCAAACTAATGAGTCGACTTACTCAGACTCGAATCAATCTGTGAGTCTGAGTCCGAGTGAGTCCACCTGAAAAAAATATTTGTGAGCGTGGATCCGAGTGAGTGCAGCTCAGGAAAATTTTGGTGAGTCCGAGTCAGAGTCAGTCCTAAGCACTGAATACATTTCATGAGTGAGTCTGAGTAAGCTCTACAATTTTTGCCGACCTATCCCCAACGGTAACCCAGCATTGCATGGAAAGCAGACCTGAATGTGTGTCACCATCAGCTAGGATGTAACAAAACAATGGTTGTCGCCAGAAGTAAGGCTTGAAATATGGTGTATGCCAGCAGTGGCCACTGAATGCCTTTACCTCAACCCTCTTTGGGATGGCCAACGACTCGTGCTCCTGCAGAGCTCGGAAGGTCTTCAGCTCCAAGTGTGTCTGCTCAATCTGCTCCGCAAGCTCCTGGATCTGCTTTATCAAGGCCTGTCCTCGTGACTGCAATGATAGCAACCAGCATTTGACCAGAAAGCAGCATGCAAGCAAGCAACACACATGCTCTCAGAGAAACCCAGGTGAGTATCATCTCAAGACTAATCCAATGCAAGATGGCACGTCATATTGCTCTTGTCCCCTGATCATGCCATTCTAGGCATGGCTCTTTGTTATCGTCCTGTATGCGATAGAGCCACATGTCGCTGATAAGCTGCCCAGTAATCATGCAACAAAATGACTCTCATAACTAGAAACCGGATAATAGGTGAATGCCTATTTTGTTCCTTGCGTTCCTATCGTGCCATTCTGATATATGAGCATGAATTAGAGCTTAAGAAGGGTTTTCGTAGTGCTTTTATAGTGCCTATAATTGCCTATTTTTGGTGTTCTTGTCTAAATCTCCATTTTCCAAATACGCGCCTCTGTGAGCACTATTTAAGCCCAAATTTTGTTTTAGAGCCCGACTTGAAACAGGTATTCGTGTAAAAAAGGCAACATTGATATTTCCAAACACTGTGAGGTTCAACGAAGTCCATTTGTTTAGGCAACTTCCGCAAAACAATTGCTAACCGCAGTGAAATGGCACTCACTAGCTACCATACGCGAGTGATTGGAGGAGGAGCATAGAGAGTGCAAAAGAGATGTGCCACCGGTGGCTACGTACTACTACATACATACACACAAGGGATGGACAGGCCAACTCCTTAAGAAGCTTCGCCCCTAAAACTGCGGAGGGCCGCTCATGGAACGCTTATGTTGATTCAGTGGTGGCTCAGGCCGTCAAATTGTTGCAGTTAGTACAGCAAAGCCTGAGGCAGGCGCCGGAAAGTTTACAATCAACGGTATATTTAACATACATTCACCCTATGCTTGAATACGCTTGTGACATACGAGATCACTTGGCATATACTTTAAGTGACAATAATAAAGGAATACAGAATAGGGTTCCAAGGTGTGTCTTAAGCCATTACTTAAAAAATGACAGCTGTACCAATATAAAAAATGAACTAGAATGGGACTCACTATCATCGTATCGAATTAAACTATGGTTAAAGCTCCTGTGTCGAGCATTTCATGGTAAAACTCGCATTCAAAAATGAATGTACCTAAACAGTCCTCTTTGCACAATAGTAATTGTGTTAAGATTTTAGAATGTCATATCACATCTAATTTTTATATTAATTCATTTTTCATTAGTTACATGACTGAATGAACTGTTTTTGAAGAGAACAAGCGTGCTGTATCAATGAAGGCGTGTTTTTTTTACATTATAACCCATCTGCTGCAGCGCCTTTGGGTAAAGAATGTGATGTGCTTTTGTTTTGTTTCAAATTTACTTCTTTAAGCACCCTTCCCTAGGTGACATAAGAAGTTGTATTTAGACACTATCAGTTCTTGCCTGCCCGATGAAAGGCGTTCTACCAGAGTGATTTTCCAAATTGGTAAGCTACAAGCCAGAAAGCCATAATACCAAGAGGCAAGCTAGAAATCCCTTGCTCCTCGCCCCATGTAGCTATCACGAGCCTAATTCCTTTCCTGCTTTCTTAGGTATCGGGGCTGGAAAATCACATAAAGCATACGCACCAAGAACATCATAATGTGCCCCAGCTTACTTGTGTACGTACGCCGCTGATGTGTCGTTTCGGCGTTCTCAGTAGTGCATTACCTATTTCTGTGGGATGGATCAGTCAGTGCATGTACTTTTTGGAGAGGCTCGCATGGATCATGTTTCGTGACCGCGATACACAACGTCACTCCGCTGAAACTGCGGTCAGAGACGATGCACAAAACACAAGCTAAGTGTTATTAGGGTTGATGAAGGCATGATGCAGGAAGGACAAGAAGATGAACGCAAGCGAAATGGGGCAATAGTAGTTGTAGTAGTGGTAGTAGTAGTAGTACTAGCAGCAGTAGTAGTAGTAGTAGTAGTATATAGTAGTAGTAGCAGTGGTAGTTTGCGTGGTTTTACGTAAAAAAAACTCACAATAAGAGTATAATGGATGCTGTAGTGGAGGTCTCCGGAAATTTTGACCATCTGGTGTTCTTTAACATGCACTGACATCGGGCAATACGCGGGCAACTACATTTTCGCCTTTTTCTAGATGCGACCACCACAGCCGGAATCGAACCCGCGACATTCGGGAGAACGGTGGAGCACTCTAGCCGCTGGTCCACCGAGACAGACACGAAACGAGGGCCGATCAGTGTAAAGCATCTCGCGGCTATTGAAAACAAAAATAACAACAATAGCAAGCTGACATTCCGCTTGCCCGTTTTATTATTTTTTTTTCTCAGCCTTCATTCATCATACTAATTTTGAAAGGGCAGCGCAAAGAAACAGAGAAAAAAAAGACATAGCGACAAAGAGCGCTGTCTTTCTGATCTCTTTTTTTTTTCACTTCCCTTTCAAAATGATATGAAACAGCTAGCCCAAACCAAAAAACTCTTCATTCATGCTACACAACATAACACACCGCTACACAACATAACATGCCGACTAAAATAATGTCATGTGCAACCCTTTTAATGAGGTACTGTTTATAATTCAGGATATAATCGGGAGACGGGACATTTCGCGCCTGTTTTTCTAGATACAGGTGTGGAAGCAGGCTTCAGATTTTTGGAGCAGCTTTGGGAGCCGGAATAACACTTTTGGAGCAGCTTTTGAGCAGTAAAAGGGGCGTCTTGGAGCAGCTCTTGAGCACCTAAAGACGTGCTTTGGAGCATCAAAATTTAGTTTCGGAGCATATTTCTTGGGTCACACATCACTGTTAATTAGAATTTTCGTTTTTTCTAGGCTTTCTCATCAGCACGGAAAAATTCAGTGGTTTTTACTAAGCATTTATGCTGATTAAGAGACCAGACTTACCCCAAATTGATATACATACACACACACATACATATATATATGTGTGTGTGACGTTAAGCGATGGTTAGTAGAAGCAGAGAAGGAAGAAGTGCAGAATGGAATAAACATGGTGTATGAGCCAGGCAACATCACCCAGTCATCATAGCGTCACACGAGTCAACAGGATGAAGACCTGGCCGCCGCTCATCAGCCACACATCATTCATGAAGCCACCGGCGATACGCCTCAACTGAATATCGGCCACAGAAGAGGTGACCTCAGGCGCAAGCAGTTAGCGCCATCATGGCAGAACCATCGACCAACCTTCCCATCCCCAAGTACACCGGAGCAGCGGACGATGGACCTGTACAGGACTGGTTCGACCTGTTCGAGCTCCATGCAACCGCTGCGTCATGGTCGGAACGGGAGATGATCATCAACTTTAGACTACGTCTCCGGTGAGGCCATCAAATTCTACCTCACCCGCATATTTCAAAACGATGTTTCATGGGAAAAGATAAAACAAGAAATGATCATTTGGCTTAAAGAAGACAATGACGACTAAGACGAAGATTCGCTTATAACCGACCATCCACAGACAACCGGGCTCAGTCGCCGCAGTCAATAGCTCTGCTCACGCATTGGGACACCAAAAATGAATCGGCCTTTGAAACAAGAGCAATTAAAACACCCTCTCGATGAAAGGCAGCCAGATCTGTTTGCAGGAAGAGTGTACCCTCCACCGCACCGCGTTTTGCAACTGCCCAATCGAAAACCAACCTTTACGTCATCACTGCACCGTAGCACTCACATTAGGGAGCCACACTGTGCACAGTACTTTCCGTCTCGCGCACTTCGACCATTTCCTACTTTTCCTTGCGGTCGCTCACAACGCCCACCTCGCGTCTCACGCGTTCACTATGGTCGGAATAGAGCGCAGAACCTCCGAGCATACTCAGCCAAGCCCAGGGTCTACCGTCCATATTGATGCACTAGAACAGTCAACCTCCAAAGTTACGCAGACAGAGAAACAATCCCAAGCAAAGTCCGGCGAAATCAAGCGTTTGTCAGTGTCGCTGTCGAGTTCCCAGCCACCTAAGAGTCCAACCAACACAGTAGGCTCGGAAGAATCAACTCTCAAGCACTGCCCTGTACCAGAAGCGTCTATTAAGAACGGCGTTGCAAGAGCCTCTAAAGACCTCCCTGTCGATTCTAGTGCACCACCTTCAATTTCTTTCGAGAATCACGACAACCCGACGACTACCAACTATCTACTAGTCACATCAACTATGAAGAAAAAGCATACTCGTGTTACTAAAGGAGTACCACCTCGTAAGATTCCGCAACATCAGCAGTGCCATCAAGAACTCAAAGAACTCCGGAAACTACGGCAGTTACATCAAGCACCACAACAAATTAAAATGAGATCACAACCAGATTTGTGGCTTAAGGATGGTCGTCAGAAACGACATCAGCTAAAAGAAAGAGCAAGTCAGCATCTGAGCCATATTCGTAGAAGGAAATGTCAAGGAGGTCTTCTGTGCGAGATATCAAGGCTTCATGTACAATCCTACCGATGGAGATACCACCACAGAAAACCACAAAAGAGACTGAACGTTACCGTTTGCAAATTGCAGGTACACACACATCATATCATCAGCTTTGGTTCTTGCGAACGCAAGCTTAAAGCAATGCTTCTGTCTCAGCCATGACAAAGAATACAACACCCACGACAAAATACTCGGCGCCTACGACGTCCGACCTTCACATTCTAGAAGGACGTCCAGCATCGTTGGTTCTTCGTAGCCGCTGAAGCCGTGTCATGGTCAGTGCAGTTGTGCAGGACGCGGTTACCTTCTCCAGAACGCCACAGCCAACCTCGCCCACCAGAACTCCCCCATTCACCGGACTGCCGCACTCTTTTCTGAAGTTTTTCGAGTTTACGGAACACCACTGGGACATGAAACCAATTGTGCAATTTGACATTTGTGACTTCTCAACCTTGCCTTGTTTACTTTTTCTTCTTCCTAATCCATGCCTTCTTTCGGGGGAGGGGGAATCCTGTGACATATGAAGCGATGGTTGGTAGAAGCAGAGAAGGAAGAAGTGCAGAGTGGAATAAACATGGCGTATGAGCCAGGCCACGTCACCCAGT